ACACTACTGTTTATGCTCTAAAAACATTCTAAATGACTTCGTTTCGAGTAAATTCTGGATGCTACCCACTCAGGACACTTGGAATACATTGGACGAGCAGTATGGAGGAATATTGACACGTTTTTGTGGACTTTTATGGACCTTTCTGTCTCGGGCACCGTAGACCTCCATTATTTGAATGTCAGCAGACAGCAAGAAGCCTCCCAGATCTCCAGATGCATTTGAGATATCAAAAAAGTACTCCAGAGTGTTGTTCAGCATGGGGGTGAGTAGAAAATGAAGGCTAATCATGTTTTGGGTGTACTATTCCTTTAAGATCTAGAGAGAGGTGCCTTCTCCTGGTCACCCCCTATAGATTCAGTGACAGGGTGGAGTCAGAGTAAAAAAAAAAATGCACGCCCAGAAAAGGGCCAGTGGCTGGAAGTTGGAGGGGATTTTGGCAATTTAGAATGGCTGCTACTGTACACAGTCTTGGGTATCCCATGGTTCATTGCGAGCCAAAGCAAGCTGGCTGCTCTGTGCTCAGAGGAGATATGCAAATGGGGTGAATATTGTAAGTGCAGTTTAATATAATAGTATGTGAATAGTTTTGTCTGAAATGAATACAAATGGTTGTTTTAAATGGTTATTGAATGAGATATGTGGCGGGTAATGTTTGGTTTATTGAAAGGTTTTATCTGTCCCTGTGCAAATGGGTTTGGCTGATATTTAGGTACACATTCCAATATCTCTGCAGGGTCGGGATTATAAATATGATATCCATGACGAATGTACTGCTGCTGAAGCTCCTCGAAAATGTTATTAGCACCCAGAACAGTAGTGAGAAGTTTGGTTTCCATTCTTTGCCTGCTTTGTGCGTCAACTATGGTTGCTGTGCAACAGAGGGTAGGGGCAGTGAATGCAGAAGAAGACTCGACCTGTTTGAATCAATAGACGAAACTCTTCTGGCCTCCTAATTTTCATGAACATCCAGGGTCCCAGTTCAGTTAGCCCAGATCCTTGGAGGACACAGCCTCTGAAAGCGAACACCACCCATTCTCCTCCTGTGCTGGTTTCTCTTCATTACTTCATTCCTACTACATGGTCCTCTTGAGTGTCTCTGTGTTTTGGTTTCTGATTTCCCTGCAGGTCATTGACTGGATTTAATCTTCTGTTGCTACCACATCAAATAAAACTGAAAGAACTCATCTCTGCCTCCTCATCTCTGCCTTTGGGTCCTCAACCAACTTCCACCCAACCTTGACAGAAAACATTTAACCCATCATTTTAAATTTCCACTGGCTCTCCCCAACGATTAGAAGCCAACAACTGATATTATTTTAGATAATATCCAAAAATATGTTTTTTTGGTTTATTTTAAAGAACCACATACATGTTTTGAGAATAAGCTTAATTTGAGATACAGTATATTGAATGTTTTTTCAGGTCTTTAACACAGTATTTAACTCACCCCAATAACTTGAAAATGAATCAGCTCGATCGCTGAACGGGTCATGTGACCCAGATCGCCATTTTATGGCTGTCTGAGTGCCCTTTTAACACGAGAGCTAACCTTACCTGCTTTTCTCATGGTAGTAAAGCTCTTTTTGCAGTAATATTCATCAAGTTCTTTAAATCAGAAATAAACCTGGATACTTTAATCTGTGCTTGGCTCCTTTTGCTCTTAACTAGCCCAGCTCAAAAAGAGGACAAAAAAATATTGGGTGTGTTCGAGTTCAAAGGCTGCATCGTCCAAGGACCCGGCCTATCTCCACTCGGTCCTTCGAGGTCCGTGAAAATAAAGAGATCGGAAGAGTTTTGGCTGTTGATTCAAACAGGTCCAACTTTTACCGCCGTACGCTCTGTCACCTAGCAACTGGCAGAGTTGACACACAATGCAGGAAAAGAATGAATACTGAACTTCTCACTGCTGTTCTGGGTGTTAATAACATTTTGGAGGAGCTTCACCAGCTGCACCACCCAAGATTTCAAATAAATTAGAATCTGTCCTTAAATATCAGCCAAACCCATTTCCACAGGGACAGATAAAAACATTTCAATAAACCAAACATTACCCGCCACATATCTGATTCAATATGCATTTAAAACAGCTATGTTCATTCATTTCAGATGGAACTATTCATAAACTTGTATTATGCTACGTTCACACCGGACGCAGCAGGAGCAGCAAAATCGCGTCTGCTGCTTCATTTTTGCTGCTTGTACCAGTTAGTTCTGACGCGCGGCTGAAGCAGCTTTGCTGCTCTGGCTGCACAGTGCAAAAGTGTGTCTGACGCGCGTTGGGCGGAGCTTCACTATCCTTTCTCTGCCTTGCAGCTATATTTGCTGTGATAAGTGGGAATAAAGTAGTTTTGATATGTTTTTGAGTGAGAAAATCCACCTGAAAACTTCATTAGTCAGTTCATCCAGATTATCATCCTGCCTTCCAATATTATTTCTGTCGGAGCCGCTCAGACGCCCACATACCAGCGGTGCGCTGTCAGTAGGAATCCCTTCATCAGCAGCCTCTGGCCGGGTCGCCTCCTCGCGGTTCACCGCGGCGGCTGGTAGCTGGTTTTCATCTAAATAATCCGATCTGCAGGCACCAGAATAATAAAAGCGAACATATTCTGCCGGCAGATTTCTGCATTTTGAGTTAATTAATGCGTCAATAAACTGTTTCAGAGGAGTGATCATAGCGCTCTGATCATCAGCGCTGTGTCTCTCTCCCAGCCAGCTCCCAGATCAGCTTCTCTGATTGGTTGACGCGGCGCGTCGAGCAGCAAAAATTAAATTTTTCCATCTCGAGCAGCAGCGCGTTTGCAGCGCGTCAGATGCTTAAACGTGTCCGACGCGCTGCTTCAGCTGCTCAGACGCGCTGCGCCTGCTGCTCAAAACGCACTGCGGGACCTTTTGCTGCGCCTTGACGCGCGTCAACCATTGACTTTGCATGTAAACTCGCTGCTTCTGTTGCGCCAGCTGCGCCCGGTGTGAAAGCAGCATTAGATTAAAGTGCACTTCCAATATTCACCACTGTTCGGCGCCAAGTACCTTTTTCCTCTGAGTAGGGAGAAACCGACTTGCTTGGACTCGCATTGAATCACGGGGTATCTAAGGCTACCTAGGATACACCGGACTAGTCCTTCAAAACGGGCAAAACGAAGGACGCATTTGTGGGCCACATAACGAGGAGTCTCGGAACCCGAACAGAGCTCGTTGCTGCGCTATGATGTAATCTGCCTACGAATCTGGCTTTCTGAGGACGCAGCCTAATTTGAACTCAGCAATAGATCACCAGCTTAATTACTACTAACTCTCTCCAAGAGTAAGATTGTTTTTACATCATGTCATTTAAACCTATTTCAGTAAATAGCCATAAAGTTACATACGCTTACAAGCTACCGTTTGCAGTCTGCACTATGAGATAATGTTTACTTTTGCAACAGCTTCACATTTAAGTTACAGGTCTAGCGCCTCTAGTGGCTAAAGGTTAAAAGGTCCTACTATATTAGTTCATTTATTATTGAGCATATCAGTTTGGCAGAAATTAAAGTTTAACTTCATAACTAGATACCTCTGAACACATAGCTGTGGTGATCGTACAGTTGTTGGAGTTCCTCAAGGACTAACTTCCAATCTTTGGTAAAAGTCAGCAGGAGTTTGAAAACAATGTGCTTGATATTAGGTGCAAGATCCAAATTTAAAAATCCTCGACTGCCTTATTATCTACCAGCTAGTAGGGGAGATAGCTTTTACCGTAGCAGCTATTAACAGCACAATTGTTATACCTTGAGAAGATATTTCAGTTTTATGCAGTTGGATTCTCCCCAAACAATATTGTAAAAGTTTGTAGTGTGATATATTAAAGTTAAATCATAACTTTTTTGGTGGGAAATATCAAATATTACAATTTCTGCGTATATTCTTGGTACTTCAGCCAAGGAAGTTATGTTTTTAGGAGAGTTTTCCTTAGATGAATCAATCTGACTGTATGATCTGGTGAACTGGAAAGTGCCTTGAGATGACATGTGTTGTGAATTGGTGCTATAGAAATAAATTGAATTGAGTTTGCATGTTTGTTTGTCTGTCTGTCCACAGGGTAACTTGAAAGTTGTGGACAGATTTTAATGAGGTTTCATCAGAGGTGTACATCATGCCAATGAACAATCCATAAAATTTTGGTTATGATCCAGAACATAATCTGGATAAAGTCATTTTTTACATAATTCTCTAACATTGTCAGATTGTAATATTTGGAGGAACAAGCAGTTCCCAACTAAACCAGAGGGTGGCAGTACTGACTATTAACAGCCGCGGCATTGGACTCACTGAAAACAAAAACACAAGAAATGGGAAGGTTTGTCAGAAGGTTTGTTAGCAGGATAAATTGAAAACTTATCAATGCATTTTATGCATTTATTTTTTTTTTTTAACCAGAGCTGCGCCTTATGCCAAGGAACAATTCATTTAGATTTGGCAATGACGATGATGTGCAAGTTTTACCTATATGTGTAAGTCACAATATAGGGCAAAATCTATGCGCTGTCCGAGTGCTTTCCTAGTATTAATATTGCATATTTATGCCCTTTATCATAAAAAATGTTTGTATTTTTTTCACAATCAGAGAATATCCAAGTCAAACTTGACATTTCTACATTTTTTGCATGATGATTTTAGGAACTTTTAAAAACTCGTTTAACAGACAGAATCCAGCTTTCAGGTTTTAGGCTTAATTTCACAACAGAATAGGATTAAAATGTCCAAATTACTCATATATGTAAATATCCATAAATCTTCTATCAGGGTAAAAAAAAAAAAGAATAGTTTGTGGTTAAAATATCAATATTTGGCACCAAGGTTTTCTATTTATTATTGTAATCTATATACATTTCACCTCCAGGTGCTACACTCTGATTAAACCTATTTTTTGTTTATTTAATTGTAAAATACTTTACAATTAGATAAAATTAATAAATAAGTTCAATACTTTTTAAATTAAAAAAGAAGACAACAAATGAATCTCATTGGGGGTAAATGAGGCCTTACAATTCTCAGTCAGGGCTGATAACAACAGTCTCGCTAACAACACTGAATATACAGCGGCTGCACTTTGAGAGCATTTTATACAAGTCTGATATGTCACAAAGAAGCTTATTTTGTCCGTCAATAATGGTGCTACTGGTATAAAACACACATTTGGTTTACCGCACACATTAATAACCCCCCTTTTCCTTTCATTCGTCGTCCCGCTGTTCAAGTAACAACGACATGTCGAGCAAGCATCCTGTGAAGTATCCAATTAGGGACTGAGTCAGCTGGATCTGGCTGCGTGTCGACAGGAAGTGGCCTTCGTCCGGATAGATCTGAGTTAGGCATGAGAATTAAAAAACAAGGTCAATCAAAACTTTTTCTGCCCAGACAAGAACAAGGAACTTTGAATATGATAAAAAAAAAAATTAAATAAATAAAATTATTTCATTGAACCTGAGGATAAACTATTCAAAGTTTATTTTATCCCAAAAAAAACATTTTGATTACACATTTTGATTAAAATTTTGATTAAAATGTGTAGATGCTACAGAGTGATAAGTCATAAAATATGAAATGATAAGCCAGACTGAATAATTTTTCTCATTGCAGTTCAGGAACTACTTAATTGGTAAAACCTGGATTGATTTTGGCTTAATGTGACTAAATTCAGATCAAAATTGGTTCATGGTCCAATCAGACTAATTGAACCATGTACAACTGCTTTTGAAGTGGTCCTTTCGCAACAGGGTCGTAAATTGGCCGAAACCGAAAGTGAAGGATTTTGGGTTGATTTATCAGCAAATTCTGTGTTTGGATTTCAAGCTGACCCTCCCAGTAATACACTGGAATTAAAGTAGGATTAGGAACAGTTGTATTAAATCAGATTATATTGGATATAAAATGACTTGCATTTAATACGTTATTGAGTGTGGAAATGGCATAATTATATTATATGAAAGCATATTACCTTAAGACTACAACAAACAGCAGATGAAAATAAGGGCAGTCTAGTAATTTTTCACACTACAACTCATCTGTTAATACATGTTAACCTGAATCCAATCAGATCTTTTATAAAAATTGTATTTAATCAATGTGAACTGAACTGAGTGTGATGATCATATGTTTTGGGTTTTAAATTTTACTTTTGTTTTTATTGTTTTGTTTATGTTTAAAACTTCTTGCCATACTTAACTTATTTCTGTTTGTTGAATATTGTTAAAATTGTGTTGCAAGTATAATTTCTTTAGGTTCAATATTTTGTGTTTCTTCACTATTTGTATTTTAGTTAGATTATACTGCATTTACAGTTTCCTACTTAATTTGTATTTTCACTTTCCTTAGCTTGGTTTCCTCTGTTAATTATTGCTAAAATGATCTTGCCATACTCTGTCATATTTCTTTAGGTCTCATACATTTTTTCCTGTTTTTTGTGTATCTAATTAAACATTTATTTCATTGATACTTTCCTCCTTGGTTTGTAATGGTCTTTGTGTCTAGTTTAGTTTTATTGCGTTTGTTATTGGCCTTTTCTCAGTCTATTATTTGTACAATCCTCAACTGTTTCAAACCCCCATGATGACCTAACTTATATCTAAGGCCATTCTTCTTCCTTGTCTCTATATAGAAGCTTCTCCATTTGTATTATTAAACCACTCAGATTTTCATTTTTGAACTTTTTGTCTCCATTTTTAGTGTTATTCTCAACATAGAAACATGTTATTGAGTTTTAATTGGATTACATCAATCTGCAAACATTGAATTTTAACAGGATTTCTGTATGGAACAGAAATCAGCTAAATTTACAAACAAAGTAGCCATTTCAACCAATTAAAGCTGCCAAATCTACATAATGGATGTCTAAATGTGGCTCCAGGGCCGTTAGCCACAGACTCCAGCTGCAGAACATTTGAACTTTCCTTTGGCTTGTTCAGCATGTTTTCACTCTGTTGCTGATCCAAAGGCTTACTACATTACACAATGTGAAGCCTTTGGGAACCTGTTCTTCCATGATGTAAGTTTTTGATGATGTAAGACCGATGAGCGGGGTTTTTACCTGCATAGTGTAGTTTGCCCCAATCTTTATCAAGTGTTTGATGAGCTCAGCTGAGTGTTGGAAGTGAACGTTGGCTGCGCACAAAAACACAAAAACACTCATGTTAACTGTTAAAAGATTATTTTTACATAATAAAAAAGATGGACTTTATGATTCACGTTGCAGAAGTAACAAGGCTACAAAACGTTTTCTGTGTGAGGAGGATGATTTTACCGTCAGCCGTGCCGTGGGCCAGAAACAGAGTTCCTCCCTCGATGCCTTTCATGTCAAGCAGCACTTTGGATGCCTAAACATGGAAAATGTATTAAAGCTGTTAAAACTTCAGAAAAAAAACAAAACGTCTTGAAATACAAAAGACAAGGCCAAATGGCAAATCCTAATGAAGTACGACGCACAAAACAATTCAAGGCATTTTATTTTTTACTAAGTTAAAAACACAGATAAAGTAGCCCAGCATTTCCAACAGACTTTCAGAATAAGAGTAGATCTATATTATGCACCCCGAATAACAATAAAATGAGAAAGTACTTTTTTGTGTGTTTTTTATTTTCATAAAATTTAGGAAAGTCCGAAGGCCTGGTGCATTGTGGGTTGTCAGTTTTTGTTTTGTTTTTTTATCTCGTTAAAATGGTGTTGCAAGTATAATTTCTTTAGGTTCAATATCTTGTGTTCCTTTGCTATGTTTATTTTAGTTAGATTAAGGGACACTTTCCTCCTTGATTTGTATTTTCATTTTTGCTTAGTTTAGTTTCCTCTGTTAATTACTGCTAAAATGTCTTGCCATATTGTCTTGCCACTATGAGTTTTTTTAAAATATACTTTCTATAAAAGATTTCTATAAAAATGTCAACTGGCAGTTTGATTTTTGTCTTTTCTTCTTATGTTAAACTCCATTTTTAAAAGGCCAATTAAATGTTTTTTTTTCTTACTATCCAGAGTCGTTGAATCACCTGAATATTTACCAGTATTTGGTTTTAATTTTTTGGTGTATCAGTATTTATTTGTCATTTCTCACTTTATATTCTAAACCCGATGAATTAACTTTATTAGGAAAATGTTGCCTCTTTGACATTTAATAAATTCTTTTTTTCAGAATAATGAAACAGATTCCGTTTTAATCTTTTAACCAGATAATTTTTCCTGCCGCAGTGAACACAAACTTTAACAACGCACGCAACACAAAAGGCACGGTGGGCGCAGCAGAAGCGGATAACCTCTCTGTCCAACGTGTGCTAAATTTAAGCATATTTTCACTTTATCTTTCCTTTTTCAGTGTGTCAGGTGTCACCACTTATTCCTTCTTCTTGTGTTCTGGCTTTCTATAAGCGTAAGGCTCGCAGATACTGACATATATGCCCACAAATGTACTCAATTCCTTCACTTAAAAAATCAGGAGATTAGTGGGAGAAAAAAATCTGGAGTCTTCCGCAAGCCTTCCAGGAGAGTTAGCAAGTACTATAAGAACTAAAGTGAGAATAAATGATGTATAAAACAAAAATGAAGGTTTTAAGATCAAAAGAGGTGCGCTGCTGTAGCTTCAAAGGGTTATAAAGGAGTGTTTTACATTTACAGTCCTTCTTAAATTGTATCAAACTCATGTTTTACTATTTTGGGGAGAAAAATAAAATGAAATAGAGCTCATTTGGACCACTTCTGCATCTTTTTTACTCTTCTGAGGGCATCTGCAACAGTGATGGCTCCACATTTTTCTCTCTAGGTACTAGAGGGAGGCTAAGCATTGAACCGAGGAAGCTATGAAGCATGCTTTGTTTTTATATGCACACAGATAAAAACAAAAACAGAGGTACTAATGTTAGTAATGAATAGGTGGTGTCCTGCGATTCAACTAAATCATACAAAAATACATGTATTAGGTACAGTGTGACATATAAACTTTAACTATATTCATGTAAATTCAGCAGCAACATCCGGTGAAGTAGACGTAAGGTGATTAATACATTTTTATTATTATAGGTAAAATTACTTAAAATCGATTAGTTAAATTACTTAGTTAAATTGCTTAGAATGTTAGCAAAACACCTTATATGAAATAGTAGGGAAAAAACTAATTTGGCCAAAAAAAAAATTCAAATAGGGTCCAAAAAAATAAAATAGCAGTAATTCATAGAAATCGTCAATTAAAAATAAAAGCATATGAACAAGTGGGACGTGTATCAACCACATGTTTTCAAGTTAAATCAAAGTTGAGAGAAGTTTATATTATGATGAGAAAAAAATCAAATTTTTCCAGTAGGTTTTAAATGAAGCCAAACACAAACACGTTTCAAAGATTTCCAAAATAAGATTTCCAAACAAAAGAAGAAGAAAACAAAGCAAGCAGCACTCTGTAATCCACGGAGCCTGACTGCATTTAGTTTTATTACTCATGGAGCATGTGTGCAGTTAACTGCGGCACTAGAGGAATTCCCTCTCTTTCCCATTATTCCATTTATTCTCAGCCTCGATTTGGACCTAAAGATGTCTTTTTGAGCCAACAACTGCCCAGCTGTGTTCTGTTTCTTTCTCTGCAGTCGTAACCTAAAGGGTAAGGGGTGGAGGGATACGGGGGGGTCTTTTTGGCTAAATTTTGTCTGATCAGATCGTGTTACATTGGCTTTTTTTTTTTTTTTTATAAATCCAAAGCATATCACGCTTCCTGCTGTGCGAGGCACCAAAATAGAGCAGCCTGGCCCAGTTTTAAGCAACCCACTTAATAGGGAAAAATACACTGCAACCTTCACATTGGGGGAACCTCTAAGCAATGATTTTAGCTTTAAACCTCTTGGATTTCTATACGTATTCTCTTTTTCTTTACAGAAAATCTTTATATCTTTGAAGATCAAACGCAACAAATAGGCAATAAGCTTTAATTTATACATACACTGCAAAATCAATTTAAGAATGAATAAAAATGTCTTTAAAATAAGTGTATTTGCCCTCACTTTGAGCAGGTAAACCAGAGGATCAGCCAATAGAAAGAGTATTTTACCTTTAAAAAAAATCATAATTAGATATTATGCACAGTTGCCTTAACAGTTGCCTTTTGAACCCCAGTCGGCCTCAGCAGATGGCCGCTTACATTGAGCCTGGTTCTGCTGGAGGTTTCTTCCTGTTAAAATGGAGTTTTCCCTCTCCACTGTCGCTACAAGCATGCTTAGTGAATGATTCAATGCAATTGATTTTCCTTAGAAAGAAAACTTTAAATCAATTTGACGTATGATCTGGATGACTGTAAAGTGCCTTGATATGACATTTGTTGTGAATTGGCACTATATAAATAAACTGAATTGAACTGAAATAAGAGACTGCAATTGTTTGCTCTTGTTTTAAATGTAAAATGTCTTATTCCATTGACAAAGTGTTTCACTTACCTGCTTAATTCAAGTAAAATTGCACTTATTATAATAACAACATTTATTTTCTTATAATTTTTTTGCAGTGCAGTTGAAAACGGGTTAAAGATTTATTATTATCATTGCTTTTGGCCTAAAATGTGAATGAAGATTCAAGAGACACTGATGATACATGATCTAGGAACTGATGACTATCTTAATTACTAACTCCATTCACCTATTTAACTTTGCTCTGTTGCTCATTACCTCTCATCTGATTCACCTGCTCCTGCCTCTATTTAAGGTGCTAGCATCCAGTCATCAGAGCCAGATTATTCTTGTTCTCTCTAGGGTTGGAATGTTTTTAAGAATCTGTGGTGTTTCTGATTTCGTGATCCTGACCTGTTCTGCCTCTCAACCAGTGAGCCTACCTGTTCCCTTCTGAACGGTTTGCCTAAACTGTCTTTGGACTCCTGGAAATCAGAACTTGCCAGTTTAGAGAGTATTTGTTACGTGTTTTTGGTATAATTATGACTTCATCAGAAAAAAATTATAAATAAGATGAAGGCATAACCTTTACAGCTTTAGTTCTGTGCTAGAAACGGTAACCGTTGCAAAGCAACAGCAATCATGCTGTAAGGGTTAGACCTGCTGATTTGCAGCTCTCCCTGGTGCCCCTGTTGGATGCTACATTTAAAATCATCACCCTAAAAGGAAGTCGCTGGCCCAGAGATGGCATTTCACCTTCGGCGTTGGAACAAAAGCTCCAATGTCAACTCTCTTTACTATGAAACATTCATCAACAAAGGGAAGTAGACTTATTTGTCTTTAATGGTGACTTTTTTCTTTTTTTTGTAGTTTAAACTCCAGATGTGCATGAATTCCTACAGGGAAATAAAGTAATAAGAACCAAGATTATAATTAGAAAGAGCAGCTTACGTGGTATCTGCTCTCCTCGGTAGAAGGCAATCCGAAGTACCTCTCGGAGAAGGCAGAGGCTGAAATTGAAGCAGGGCGAGGTTGATTAAAGTCCACTCAACGACACACTTCTAATAAATGTTGGAGCTTTTCATCTTAAAAATTCTCGAAGCCTAAATCCCAAAAGGCAGAGCTAAAGTATAATTAAAGTCTCCCTGCCTTGATGAAACAATGTGAAAGATCTGGAGGTTTGGCACCAAAAGCAATAAGTGTTTTACCCACCGTACATGGTCCAGTTAATGATGGGAGCCTGAGCTGCTGCACATCTAATCAGCCTTTCTGAATTCAGCATCATCAGAGTCAGGTAACCCCCATAACCCTGCAGAGGACATGTGGAGTCAGAAAATGGATGGAGGAAACATAAGATAGTAAGAACACTAAACCTGGTCTGTAAAAATCTAATAAACATGCAGTTTACAGACAGAAACGATGCTTTTCACATTACTGACTGATATAGATTGATTTACAGTATCCAGCTTTAGTCTAACGGACAAACCTGTCCATAAACTCCAACACGATTCCCATCGACATACGGCAGCCTCATCAGAAAGCTGGGAGGACAGAAAAACACACACAAAAAAGTAACTTTACAAATTTTTGACATAACCCAAGGTTCTCTAAATATCACCACTGTTAGAATTAGAGCTCCCTCTTGTGGTGAGCAGCAGGCCAGGTAACAGCCTTTGCTGGGCCAGGAGCAAGATAATAAGACACGGGCCCCTAAGTTTATATTTCTCAAAATTCCAACAACAACAGTCCCCAGTTAAATCGGAGACTTTTAAATTCATCATCATCATCAAGAATGTAACACAAGACAATATATTAAAACCTTGCACTCTATAATACATTAAGGAATGTGCTACAAAACACAGTGAAACAACTAAAAAAAACTGATGAAACAACTACTGTACACTCAATAAAAAATACCCCAGGGAAATTAAATTATTATTGATTAATTAAGAAAGAAATTTGATGATGAAAAATGAACTAAAAAAACAAAAAAAACAAAAAAAAAACAAAAAAAAAAACAATACAGCAACCAAAGAAAAACAATAAAACAACTAAAATAAAACGGGGAAAAAACAAGAAATTGATAACAATAAAACAACATTAAAACAATAAACTAAAAAATAGGAAAAATAAAGCAACTAAGGAAATAGAAAATCACCAGAACAACTAAAATGATACAGAAAAAAAAAACAACGTAAGAAACAATTAACTAAAAAGCAGAAAAACAATAAAGCAACTAAATACAAAAAAACAAGTAAGGTAAAACAGAATAAAAAAGAAATACAGAAAATAAATTATACAAAAAGGATATGTAATTGTATTTAAATAAAAAAAATCTAAAAACATAAAATAAAAGCTTGAAAAAATACTATTAGAAAAAAAACATAATATAAAAAAAACGTTAAAGTAAAACAGAGGAAAACATCATGCTTACTCTCAAAACATTGTTTTACTCAGAAGTTTTTTCAAATTTTGTTTCTCGATTGAGTTTTCTTTCATTTCCATTTACAAAATGTGTTCTTTGCTTGCAGCAATAAAAGAACATAATTCCCTTTATAGCACAGAGAGCAGGCTGTCTGTAGGTGAAAGCGACCCTGCTGGTTGAAGCGTTTTCCTCAGGTCAAAGTCGTGGCTCCATTTCTATATTTAAGCGAGGGAGCGACTGTGTGACCCAGAGCAGAGTTTCACAGGCTGCATTTTCCTGGCTACCTGTAGCGCAGCAAAACATTCTGTACTTTAGTGGAGTTAGTGGAGTAGCCTACCGTTGAGTTCAAGGTTTTATACAGTAGCTCAACAAAGCCTTGTAGCTTGTTGCTACTGGATAAAACCTCAAATTCAAGGCTATTCCTGACATTTTGAATTGAAAAAGCTTCCTGGATGGGAAGAGAAACGTCTTCAAACTTGGAAACAAAGTCCAGTGGATTGTTTTTGACTTTTGTTGGAATGACTATTAACTTGATGACTGAGAATCTTCACCAACAGCTCAATAAGTTCCAATTATGTCAATGGTTGTCTTTAATACAACTATGAGGGGGATTTGGAAGCATATGTATTTAATATTACTATCAAAATGTCTTGATATACATCCATAGTTGGAGGGAATGGTTCTGGGCCTCTGATCTACCCTGATTAACCTGGTTGCTGCAGGGCGTTATAAGCCACAAGAACATTTGAGACAAGGGTCATTTGGTACTCACATAGGAGCTGATTGTCCACTTAAAGACTGCAAGAAGCACAGGTCCTGTCACTACTAAACAAACCCAAACCATCACGCCCCCACCACCATGCTTTGAAGTCTATATGGGATCTCCATTTAGTCTAGCCTAGTAAACTAGCCCCACCCACCAGCGGCCAAAATAATTTTTGCCATTGGTCTACCCTCGATCAATGCCCCAGGCCCTATATCTGGCGGGCCAATCACAACACAGAGATGTGTTTTGAATTTCTGGATGCAAAGCGGGCGGGGTTTAGAGGGCGTGACGCTGGAGAAAGAACAACAAGGAAGATGGCAACAACTATTGAACAGTAGCATCCACTGCAGCATGGAGCGCTCTATTGAAAGTTAAAAGTTCTCTTTTCTGTTGCTCAATGAAAGTACGTTTTAAGATCATTTGGGGCAAGAATATTATACTTTAAAGCGTCATTATATGGTCAATTTACCAATTTAATGCTTAATTAAAAAAACAATTTCCGAAGTTGATAGGACCGCGGCAACCAGCCAACCTCCGGGGATAATGGCAGCCAGGGCTAACCGCAGCTCGTCTGCAGTGGCCCTCTCTCGGCATAGTCGTGTGTGAAGGGTGAAGGACCGCTGGCTATGATGGCGATTTTTGACTCAGCTTTGGAATCCGTTTTGGAAGGATTAGACTTGGGTTTTTCATTGAAACGTGAGCAGGAAGAGGCTCTACGCTCATTCATTTTTAAGAAAGACGTATTCGCCGTTTTACAGGCTATTGGTTTACACTCCCCCACCAGCTTTCTGTCGCACTTCCAATGTCACAGTCAGGTGCACTCATTGGTCAGAGCGTTGGCCAATAGGCACAGACATGGTTTGAAAGATAACGGGTTGTTCTCATCAACAATCTTCCGATGTCTCATCCATCGGGGAAAGACTAAATCAAACATCTAATCTCACATTTAGTCTGGTTTATCAGGCTACATTTAGTCTATTTCAGACGTTTTGAAGATCATTCATTGAAATTTGCGAACCAAACTGATGCTTTCATACAGTACTTTAGAGAGAGGTCTTTTTTAAGATTTTTAAATCATCTTTTCATAATATTTCAATTAACAGTCTGTAGCAATTATTTTTTTTATTGCACTTATTTTTGGAAGCATTTGCAGGGATGTCAGCTGCAAGAAAAACGGGCAGAGTGATGGACGTTAATTAACAAGAACAGCTGCTACTCTAAGATGTTTGCTTAGGCATTGTGTTAGCAAAAGCCAGGATGCTGTAGTGGAATATATAAAAAAAAACATTTCGCATTTATAAGTTAATGTTGTTTAACTTGAGTTTTAACACATAAAAAAACATGAAGTAGACTTAAGTTCTTGATTCCAGTGATAATAAATGAATATGTCTTTATATTGATCTAATGCCTCATACTCCAGAGCTGCAATCTGGTCCTCCAGATCCACCGTTCTGAGTCTGTGATAAGGCTGCTCCAGCGATCTGCACAGAAAGCAACAAATATCAACAGGTCTAATCTGGAGCAACTTTCTACGAAATTTGTCAAAAAAAGGTTCTTGCACCTTTGACCTCTGAACCCGGGTCCTCTGCCATCAAACCGGGCCACTATGATCTGATGTGACACGGCCAGCGCCCAATCCCAGTCCAGTGCAAATTTCTCCGTTGCCGTCTGTTCCCTGGGAATGCTGCCTCTGTCAGAAAACATGTCTGACTTACTACATCTTTAGAAAAAAAATTATAAACGAACAAAACATATAATAGCTATGAACAGTATTTTTGATTCCCTGTTGTTTTGATAGTTAAAGGTGCATTGCGCAAATTCAAATACTGAACATACATGTTCTTACAATTGCCTGACTTGTAAAATAAGTTTTCCTTTTTTTCATCCTCTTTAGGCTCAATTAGTCCATTTATGAAAGTGTGAAACACACAACCCGGCTGTCATTTTAACTTTTCGATAGAGGACTCTGGAACTTGCGCTCCGTATTTCCAACAGGCCATTGAATGTCTCTCAGTTGGCATTAAATACGTCAGCAAATGCATTCGGGTCCAGTTAAAGTCCCAACAGGAACCCCATCATATTTATTTTTGGTATAGTAGGACAGAAAAGTCAAGTTTAGGGCCAGCCATCAGCCACTCTGTTGTTTCTGACTTCAGAAAGTGATGAACATGTTCTTCTATTTCTCATTTTGAGCAGCGGCTAAAAGAGAAGCTACCTCTACTTCAATTCCTACAGGAGAAACAGTGCAGTGAGAATGCAGACATAAATCTTATACTCGTACAAGCAGCATTTAAAGCACATGCATGCATATTTACATGCATTTTTTTTATTCTTGCAGATTTAATCCCATGAGGCTTCCAATATATCACAAACAGGAGTTTTTACATCTTCTCTGCGCTCAATTAGTTTCTCCCCTACTTCTGCCTTAACCTGTTTCTGTGCGCTCATGTCAAATTTAGTCACTTTAACAATATATATCTGGTTAAAAACAATCGTTTGCGCTTATTGTTTTGGAAGAATGTAGAGACAGACTGATACGTCGGTCTGCCGATATTTTTGGCTGATACTAAACACTAAGATTTGTTGCTGTGAAGTTTGTATGAAACAAACTGGGAGATAATGTTGCTTCTCCTTGTCGAAGCGAGGCCTGGATCATAATAAAGCGACGAGGGCTCACATGATGAGGAGAAGGCCGTAGAGGTTGGACTCTGAGAAGCCCGGAGGACAAATGAGCTTCAGAGGCAGCTCTGCAGGAAGAGAGAGAAACATTAGCTAGTGGGGAGGTGACCCAAGGAAGGTCAAAGAAAATTAAAGTAGGTCGGGACGGCAAGCCAGGCACAGTAGTAGAGAGAGTCCCGTTCAAACACTAACAGAATCCATTGTCATGTCATGTGTGCTTTAATTATCTGTGGGGCTCAAATGCAGCTGTTAAGAAATCATTTGTACCAAAGTTGTCAATGGTGATATTCTCGAATACGGTCTTAGCCTTCCTTCTGGTGTCCAGCGCTGATCGTAGGGGGAGGTTGCTGTCCAGGATGAAGTATGCTGTGAATAAGAAATTAAAACAGCTGTTTTTCCTTAGCACAAGGATTACAACAGGTCTTTTTTTTCTGACATGGCAATCTGTGATGGTATAATGCTAATGCAGAAAAACATATCCTCATTAGTACCATGACATGGTGGTGATAACATGCAAATGATTGCATTTAGAGGTGGGAAGCAAGAAAAGAACGACATAATCTCTATTTGATTTCTCTCCTCAACTTCAAATTCATAGTTACAATTAACAATTACTCATGATTTCCAATTATTTTCATAAACAAAACTAATGTCTGGAGAAAGGGGGCTCCAGAGGGAGCCAATTTGCGACAGAAATACATCTATTTTGCTGTGAATTAAGCTAAGCGTCATCCTATTCATCGGCTTATTATAGAAAATTCTTTACATTTGTCGACTTTAAGAGCAATTTATTGTAAATGTACCATTAAAGGTAAAACATTTTCAGCGTTGCACTTTTGCTCTTAAAATTTAACTCACTGCAAAAAAGGAAAAAAAAAAAAAAAAAAATCGCTGTATGCTGGAAAAAAATTTTTTTAGAAATTTTCTAACTATAAATTCTCGGTAAAAAGTATTTCATGCCAGGATCAAACATTTGTATTGAACAGTTTGACCTGTTTTACTAAGCTGACAATTGCTTATGCTAAAAAAAAAAAAAAAAGGAAACATTTCTGATTATGGTTAAGCATACAGTTACTAGTAATCAACGATATGTCAATGTTGGCATAATGTTACTATACTAGGATTACTATAACACATTATAAATGTTAGTAGTATAACAGTATTACACTACCAACACAATAACATCAATATGAAATAAGCATTTTTGGACTAATATAACTTTAGTATCATGAAAGCATTAGCTTTATATCATCAGGAGTTAGTGATAGCTTTATAGCAGTGATAACAAGCTGAAGTTAGGATTAAATTTATCTATATTTTTAATAGAAATGTAACAAAAACATCATCATTTGAACACTATCACAACATTTTAACAGTATACTTGCAGATATGAGCTCAAACTTCTTTTTTGCTCTAAATACAAAGCAGAAACTTGTATCATTAAATATATTAAACTTTCTTTCAATTCAAAATTCATTACAGTCATCAGGCCACCGAGAGATCACCATACTTTTAAATTAATTTTCCCTTGCCCTTGAGACGTGTGGAGTATTCACGCTTCATTTCTAAGTGACTTTAAAAAAATAATATAATTGATATTTTGAAGTCACCATACTGGTGTTGCACTGGATTCGGCTGCCTTGAATACAACAGAAAACATTTTAATTGCTGCAAACAGTTTTTGATAACAGCTGTGAGGAAAAAAATAGGGTCCCGCTGACACAGATAAAAAAAAACAATACTCACAGTCCAAGTCGCTGAAACTGAGAAGCAGCACAGCTGGAACGTCAGGACCTGCAATGTTTACAAAAGAGGGGAGGTGATTTTTTAGAATAAAAAAAAACAAATGTTTATGAACCCTTATTTAGATCACGTTAAAGTATTTGGAATTTTTATATATATATATATATATATATATATATATATATATATATATATATATATATATATATATATATATATATATATATATATATATATATATATAAATATATATATATACTCACCGGCCACTTTATTAGGTACACCTGTCCAACTGCTCGTTAACACTTAATTTCTAAGCAGCCAATCACATGGCGGCAACTCAGTGCATTTAGGCATGTAGACATGGTCAAGACAATCTCCTGCAGTTCAAACCGAGCATCAGTATGGGGAAGAAAGGTGATTTGAGTGACTTTGAACGTGGCATGATTGTTGGTGCCAGAAGGGCTGGTCTGAGTATTTCAGAAACTGCTGATCTACTGGGATTTTCACGCACAACCATCTCTAGGGTTTACAGAGAATGATCCGAAAAAGAAAAAACATCCAGTGAGCGGCAGTTCTGTGTGCGGAAATGCCTTGTTGATGCCAGAGGTCAGAGAAGAATGGCCAGACTGGTTCGAGCTGATAGAAGGGCAACAGTGACTCAAATAACCACCCGTTACAACCAAGGTGGGCAGAAGAGCATCTCTGAACGCACAGTACATCGAACTTTGAGGCAGATGGGCTACAGCAGCAGAAGACCACACCGGGTGCCACTTCTTTCAGCTAAGAACAGGAAACTGAGGCTACAGTTTCCACAAGCTCATCGAAATTGGACAATAGAAGATTGGAAAAACGTTGCCTGGTCTGATGAGTCTCGATTTCTGCTGCGACATTCGGATGGTAGGGTCAGAATTTGGCGTCTACAACATGAAAGCATGGATCCATCTTGCCTTGTATCAACGGTTCAGGCTGGTGGTGGTGTCATGGTGTGGGGAATATTTTCTTGGCACTCTTTGGGCCCCTTGGTACCAATTGAGCATCGTTGCAACGCCACAGCCTACCTGAGTATTGTTGCTGACCATGTCCATCCCTTTATGACCACAATGTACCCAACTTCTGATGGCTACTTTCAGCAGGATAATGCGCCATGTCATAAAGCTGGAATCATCTCAGACTGGTTTCTTGAACATGACAATGAGTTCACTGTACTAAAATGGCCTCCACAGTCACCAGATCTCAATCCAATAGAGCATCTTTGGGATGTGGTGGAACGGGAGATTCGCATCATGGATGTGCAGCCGACAAATCTGCGGCAACTGTGTGATGCCATCATGTCAATATGGACCAAACTCCCTGAGGAATGCTTCCAGCACCTTGTCGAATCTATGCTACAAAGAATTGAGGCAGTTCTGAAGGCAAAAGGGGGTCCAACCCGTTAATGGCATGGGGTACCTAATAAAGTGGCCGGTGAGTGTATATATATATATATATATATATATATATATATATATATATATATATATATATATATATATATATATATATATATATATATATATATATATATGGCCTATTAAGCAGCATTTAACAGCAAACACTGCTACAATCAATGACTACAATCAATTACCTATTTACAAACCAATTTTTAAACTGCTTCTACTTTTATGGCCTACAGTGAAACCTAAGGGTGAGTATTAGCATGTGTGTTTCAATACGATACATGTCCCGATTCTTGGGTCACAATATGATAACATTACCTTATGTCAAAATCACTAGGGATGCACGATATAATCGGCCCCCTATCGGTATCGGCCTGTATCAACCTTAAAACTGAATATCGGACATCGGCCACCCCACCGATATTTAACCCGATATTTGATCAGCTTCTGAGTTTCTAAAGTAAAAAAATAAAAATAAAATACTACTACTTCTTCCTCAAAAACCTCTTTTTTACAGACTTAAAAACTTCTAAAGACGAGGGAAAAAATATTTATACATTAAAATATCCCAATATCTTCATATGCTGATATATTGCCATTTAAAAACACCATATCAATCTCTTTTACTAATGAAATATTGCTATATGTCATCGTTATGCTACGAAATCCCCCGAAAATTCACAAAATTTTGCCATATTTTTATATGTTGATATATTGACACGGTATCGATCTATTTTACTAACAAAATCTCACAAGAATTTGCAAAATTTCACGAGAGTTTGTAACAGAACGATGAAATTTCACGAGATTTTGAAAGTAAAATAGATCGATACCGCGTTTTTAAAAAAATCTATTTGATATCAGCATATGAAAATATTAGTGCTGTCAATCGATTAAATTTTTTAATCGCGATTAATCGCATCAATGCCTGAGTTAACTCGCGATTAATCGCATTTTAATCGCACATTTTTTTTCCTGATTGAAAATCATTTAAATACTCTGGATGACATACAAAAAAATACATACAGGCTAGGTTTGTGCCAATGTTCTTTTTTTAAAATGAAAACAGGTCACAGATACTGATTTATGCCATAGAAACATATGGCAAGAAGATGGGGAGGCATGTAGCAAAAAATAACAAATATGTAGCCAAAAAAAAGGCCCTGAAAACAGGCTGATGTAAAAGACAGTCTTTACAGTTAATACAGTCTTTTGAACAAAGACAAGCATTTTACCCTACTGCTATAAAATTTAGTAGAATTAACATTAGATGTTAATTAACCAAGGTAATAATGAACAATTTTCAATCAATACATCAAAATCAATAGACCAACATCACTAGATGAAGGTAGTCTATGCTCTCTAGAAAGTTACTTTTCAGCCTCTTAACAAAAATGAGAACACACACACACCCACTCACCCACTCACCCACACACAGACACACCCACACACACACACACACACACACACACACACACGATACCGACAAGAGTGCCGTAGCAGATTCCATTTCACCTCAGTAATCTGTTTTCTCAGCGTATTTCAGGTTGCTACTAGTTACCAGACACTCAACTTGTTTGTTGGTGGTGGGGCTTAAAGAAAAGGCACTAGCGCCACCCAGTGTATGAGCGTCTTTTTTCCTTGAGGAGCTCCGCTCTGGAAGCCTATGAGAAATGCATAGACTGGGGGAAAATAGCCCCGCCTTCCCGCAGGCTGCAGCGGGATGCACTTGGAAAATTGTACCATAAAACCACATAGCGTTAATCTCGCGTTAAAAAAATTATCGCCGTTAAAATGGCCTCGCGTTAACGCGTTAATAACGCGATAATTTTGACAGCACTAGAAAATATATTTGAGTATATTATTTTTCAAAGTGTCAGAAATGGATAACAAAACTGCTATTTTCAATGACTACTTATTTTTGTCCAGCTTTAACATCGGTATCGATATCGGTTATCGGCTACATGAGTTTTAAAATATCGGCATATCGGATATCGGCCAAAATCCCAATATCGTGCATCCCTAAAAATCACTATATATCGCGATATTTTTCCCCAGCTATCAAAATGAAATGTATGGATAAAAAAAAGCAAGTACTGTATCAATTTTGTTTCTGGTATGACTCTATCTACGTCTTCTCTTGTGACTGCCTTAACTACAGATATGGCGCGGCGGTGACACAGCAAAAAGGTTCCACAGCTCTATCTACCATAGGTAAAAAATTTTTTTATATTTTTTGAAAATCGATATTAGGAACTTGCAGATCGATTCAATATTGGGCAGCGAAAAATTACAATATATGGCCAAATACATTTTTTCCAACAACCCTAATGAAATTGTTGTTTTAGAGAAACAGGGGTACGAAACAGTCTCCAAATAAGCTGTGAAAAATCTTTTTTCCCAAAATTAGATTTTTTTGAATTTCAGAAGGATTGTAAAATTCCACATTACGACTCCTTTTCTAATCCAGCCATTATATTCCGTCAGGACATTTAAATGGATTGGATTTTCTTTAAATTTGTGTTTATCTCATTCTATTGTCTTAAATCCAAGACAATCATAAAGCACCGGGCTGTATTTTGTTGTATCTAACAGCAGAAATTATTGACCAATATTGAAATTGTACACATATCTGCTCTATGCTATGCTTTGGAGGATGTTGTACCGGTTTTCTATGAGTTTGCAGGGTTTCATTCCCATCTTTCTTCATGGAGTTTGCAGCAGTCCAAAAACATGACTGTTAATTGGCGTCTCTAAATTGTGAGTGTGAATGGTTGTGTCTGTGTGTTGCCCTGTGATGGACTAGCAACCTGCTAGCCCCACCATCACCCTAATGGTTTAAGCAGTAGAAGATGAATTGATGGAGTGCCAACTGTAGTTTCCGCCATAGCTTATCTAATAAGTGGTAAAATATTTCCAAGGTAGAAAAAAAAAGGAGGATTTTGTCATTTGTGTATAAGCACAGATGCATTTACCTAGCTTGGTTCTAATAATTCTAAAGCATACAGGCAATGCTGGCCCCATTTCCAGGCTTTAAACCCAATAAAGGCAGTTGTTTCTGTGAATGGCGCTACCCTGGGCATATTTGGTTAACCGTCTAAAGAACCTATACTTGCGAAAAGTGGTGACCTGGATGTTTCAAGCAAACCAGAGGAAATCTTGGTAAGTTCTCAGAGGTGTAGTGTGATGATTACCTTCCAACTGAATAAGGTCCAAGGTGACTTGATTACTTGATTACTGTTCTTTCTGCTTCCGTTTCTACCAAAGCCTGAGCTTTGTCCCCATTCTTGGTACAAGATCAAGCTTGGTTCTGGTTTGGACCTTGTAAAGGCTTTGTCTTTCCACCCTTCTCCTTTGTAGTATTTAACCATAACTCCCTTTTGAAAATAAACATTTCATAATAGTTGACTGCTCTTTGCACGTCACAAGTGAGCCTTCTAAGTAACAAGTGTAAAAGGGTATTGTAGAGCTCTTAACACATCTACAGTATGTTCTGACCCTTCCTGTCTTAAAAAATAGATTGTGCAGAAAAGTACATCCACTATATAGGAAAGCTTGACTCAGCCCTTGAGATAAAAATATGTTCTCCTTTATATGGGAGTCAGCTGAGGTGGTTCAGGCAATGCATAGGATGTCTCCCCAAAACCTTCGTTTGGAGGTCGTCTGGACATATCCCACTGGGAGCACACTCCAATGTGAACCCAGCACTTAGTGGAAAATAACAACAGATCCTCAGGACAATGTCACCCAACGGATGTCTGCTTTCCTACCTGGATTTGGTGTCTTAGTTTTCCTCTTGTAATATAGAAAACAGAACTAATTACTCAGTAGACGAATCACTGGCTATATTTGACAAGTAGATATTTCAAATTGGTTGTAGGATAGTAGGATTGTAGGTTTAATGGGGGTTTATCAGGAATCTGTTCGATTGTTTGAACTGTTTTAAGAGTTCAAAGAAATTCAGATTTACCCTGAAGCAGATGACAGACCAAAGTAGCAGTCATCAACAGAGCTACTGCTGACAAAATTGGCATTTGCTTTTGCTTTTCAGTAGAAAGTACTCCTGTATTTTCAATAAACCACCTTTAAATTTGATTAAGACACTTTCGTTCAAACAGATCAATGTTCATTCAACCAATATATTTGAAAGGAGAGGTGAACAACTAAGACCTTGACAGTGGAGGATGGCATTTTGAGCATTTGGACTGATGTCGACGTCATAGAAACTGCACCCTTCCTTCAGTCTACAGGTGAGGCATCGCCTTGAAGAGGAACCATCAGTCGACAAACTGCAGGAGAAAATTTGGACAAAAAAGTCACCCAAAACCATTTCTGAACACGGTGAAACTAACTTAGAGAGCAATGAAAGGGCTTTACCTGTATAAATGCCTTTGCTGTGGAGCTTCCTCTGAACTCAGGAAGTATCTGTGAAGAAGAAAAGTAGCATCAGTTTGGAAAAGAAGCATTCAAATAGGTACAGAAAAAATGACACCGGGAGCACAGCTGGATACTTGCATGATATTTTTGAGCTCGTCATAAGTTACGATTCTGACCACGTCCCAGTTTCCATATGTTAAATGGCGAACTTCAACTGGCTCGCTTCTTGACTGGAACAGAAAAGAAGAACTTTTGGGAAGATGTTCTTTATTGATAAACACAAACTCTTCTAAGGGGACGGATAAAGAAACAACAGATTAAAATAATACATGCATGGCCAAAACTAAATACACACGCACACACAACCCTTCACTAATATTTAGTTGGAAGTTCGGTTGAAGGTTCTTGCAAGATGGGTGAGTTTGCTTAAAATTGGTGGCCAAGCTTTAAGGCAAAGCTAATACCTTTTACAACAGGTGGTAGGTCATGTCTTCAGGACAGTCAGAGGCTAAAGGGCAGATTATACTTCTGCAACTGCACACATCAATGTCGCTTGGGTCTGGTCGCGAACCAGTTTTGCTGGTATGCTTCTGGACCGTCGGTCTGGAATTCCTAGGGACGCACAGCAGTTTTCCTCCAAAGTGCAAGGGCCTATTCGAGAACTCACGAGAACTTCAGCAGATGGTCACAAGAACTTCATTTTGGCAGACACCTTGGCAACTTTATATAATTTGTTTGAGGCATCGTACAAGTGGTTGTACTTCCGAACCTCCTCGATTAACCTTTTGTCGTAGTTATCCATTGTAGTTGTTCCTTGGTTTTTTCTAAATGGCGCGCCCCGGCATCGGATCGAGAAGGACGACCACAAAGACAGCCGGAATGGCATACCAAGGACCAATCACAGCTGCTTTTTGTCTGTGCACTTCCGCTTGAGATCTGCACGGGATTGCGACCGTCCGACGCATAGTCAGGATTTTTTTGAGGTGCGCAACAACAGTTGCAGAACCTCTGCGTGGGGGGTGTGGTCGAGCAGAGATACAGATTTGTTAGTGTGCAGAGGCTATGCCTCAGAAGCATAAAGTGGCCTTTAAAGTGCAACTAAACCCAATATAAAAGCATTACACTGACCTCAGACATAATTTGATAGAACAAGTTATACAATGCTAACCTACATTTTTGTAGGTTAGCATTGTAGTACTTTCCGTAACTCGACTCGCTAGATTGGCATGTCTATATAATAGACATTTACAGAACTTTACCGTAATTTTATCCAAAATTCCTTCATTAGTGCGAGTCAAATACATAGTTTTATATCAAATATGGCAAAATTTCAAACGTTTATATAAAAATGCCCGGTAACATAAATATAGCACCCTCAAGGACCTAATAATACAATTTGAGTTACCAAAACTTTTCTCCACATGGTCAAATTACCAACTATCTGTCTTGTTTAACCAAATTATTCTTGTCTGTTTAATGTGAGGTTTTTCTCCATTTTTGATTTTTACAGCAGGTTTATCTGTCTTAGTTCTACCTTATGAGTGACGGCAAGGTCAAATTACACCTAGCAGCAGAATACAGGTTGGAAACATGAACATGTTGCCTTGAAAGTATTTGATTTAAATTACAGAAGAGGCAGCTGCTTTTTGTTTGAAAAAGCAGCTGCAGTGGACCGACTAGGATTAAAATCAAAGCTCGCAATGATAAGATCACCCTGAAAATAAATCCTTTCTCCTGCTTCGAGACTTATGATGTGGATATTTCCGACTGTTGGAGGACAGGAATGGAATGGAAAGAGCAAGGAGAAAAAAGAAGGTATATTATTAGTCACCTTTCTAGAGAACATGGTGATGTGGTGGACATCTGTGTGACCTCCATGTTTGACAGGAAGAGTGAGGAAAATCTTGCTCAGGTCCTCAGAGAACAGCGGCTCCTGACTCTGTGGGGAGAAATGGGGAAATCGACACACTTGCAGAGTGAATGCTGCCTACAAATATGTGGATACTATGGATGCTACAGTCTTTGATTTAATTTCTATAATATTTTTTTGTGATTTTTTATATAATTCCCTAAAATGTTTTAATTAAGTTATCGATGCTGTTTAGTTTGAGAAGAAAAGCTTTAGATTTTTGCTTCATTTGGGCAAATTCTGCAATTGTTTTGAATTTTCAAGGTTAAAAAGAATCTTTTAGATCTGAGAGGATCTTTTATTCAGATAGAATAAATGAATACTGATTCGCATCTCTCTGTCTACACATCAAATAGCTTTAACTAAAAAACTACTTTAGAATTTAAATGTCTTTATTTACCTGCCTGGTAAGCCATGTCTCTGAGGTCTCTTCGTGTCTCTGAAGGGAAGAAAGAAACTTTAATCCTCAAGATTAAAGTTTTAACATGTGTGCAAGGTTTGAATAAAGATAAGTTCAAACAAAAGTTTGTACTTTTCAGGCAAGAGAAAAAAATAAACACATAGATACAGAATATGATATAAAATCAAAGGAAAAAAGAAAATATATCAAAAATAAATTTTAAAAAAGTCTCATAAAAGGTCAGAATGATATTTTTTTAAACTACTTTTTAAAATTATTTATAAAAGGGGCATAAATTAGCTGAAAAGATTTTAATATTTCAAAAAAGGTGAAAAATAAGGTTACAATTTACCCATTTTTATGGAGTAATGAGTAAAGAGTTAACATTTTATTTTTGAATACCCTTCTCTTTTATCTGCTTTAAATGGATTTTAGACAATAACAAAAAGCATTTAGACCTTCAAACTCAACTAAACAACACAACACTTTGATAGAACCAGAAGAAAAATGCTTCACAAAAGCCAGATATTGTTTAATAAACTTTAAAAGTTGAGGAGTTTTCCTTATTTTTTCCACCTTTGGAGACGTTCAGAAAACATTTAGCGCAATAAATACTCCAAGCATAATAAAACCACTGGAGAGGCTTTCTGCTCTTGTTCAGCTATTCATTCTTTATCCAAATTTCCCCAAAGCCATCAAAGAAAATACATCTTATTTTGTTTTTTATGATTTTTAAAACACAATGATCTAAAATTTAAATGCAAAGAATTGCCCCCAATAACAAATGCATGAAAGGAAACCTACCTGGTGACAGACTCCAGTCGTGGCCTCACACACCGTCAGAAGTGAGGCATTCTGAGGACGGTTGACCCACAGCACGGCGAGGCGCGTGTGATCAATCCACTTCACCATGGTTATGTAGAAATCTCTGCAGATTGTGGAAAGGAAAAAACAGAATAAGAGGACTGGATGGTGTCACGCTCCCATGCGATGTGGATGCTTTTGCTATGTGTCGCCACCTGAGTCTGATCTGATCTGGAGGATGCAGCTCCTGAGTGTTCGTAATGCCAAACAGGTTGACCACAAACAGCTTGACAGTCGGGTTCCTCTGGCCTGCCTTAAGTAATAAACATAAACACACAGATGAGCCATAGGAGGGAAAACAGGAAGCCTGCGGAACATTGAGCTCCAACAGAGCAAGAAAAGAAAAAAAGTCTGGAGTAGTCCCTGATATTTCCCTATTGGTAGATTTCATGTGACTAATGTGGTATTTTGGCCATCTCAAGACGGAGGTTGTTGAGGGTTAATTTCTTCTAAAAGAATACACTCACCGGCCACTTTATTAGGTACACCTGTCCAACTGCTCGTTAACACTTAATTTCTAAGCAGCCAATCACATGGCAGCAACTCAGTGCATTTAGGTATGTAGACATGGTCAAGACAATCTCCTGCAGTTCAAACCGAGCGTCAGTATGGGGAAGAAAGGTGATTTGAGTGACTTTGAACGTGGCATGATTGTTGGTGCCAGAAGGGCTGGTCTGAGTATTTCAGAAACTGCTGATCTACTGGGATTTTCACGCACAACCATCTCTAGTGTTTACAGAGAATGGTCCGACAAAGAAAGAACATCCAGTGAGCGGCAGTTCTGTGGGCGGAAATGCCTTGTTGATGCCAGAGGTCAGAGGAGAATGGCCAGACTGGTTCGAGCTGATAGAAGGGCAACAGTGACTCAAATAACCACCCGTTACAACCAAGGTGGGCAGAAGAGCATCTCTGAACGCACAGTATGTGAAACTTTGAGGCAGATGGGCTACAGCAGCAGAAGACCACACCGGGTGCCACTTCTTTCAGCTAAGAACAGGAAACTGAGGCTACAATTTGCACAAGCTCATCGAAATTGGACAATAGAAGATTGGAAAAACGTTGCCTGGTCTGATGAGTCTCAATTTCTGCTGCGACATTCGGATGGTAGGGTCAGAATTTGGCGTGTACAACATGAAAGCATGGATCCATCCTGCCTTGTATCAACGGTTCAGGCTGGTGGTGGTGGTGTCATGGTGTGGGGAATATTTTCTTGGCATTCTTTGAGCCCCTTGGTACCAATTGAGCATCGTTGCAACGCCACAGCCTACCTGAGTATTGTTGCTGACCATGTCCATCCCTTTATGACCACAATGTACCCAACTTCTGATGGCTACTTTCAGCAGGATAATGCGCCATGTCATAAAGCTGGAATCATCTCAGACTGGTTTCTTGAACATGACAATGAGTTCACTGTACTAAAATGGCCTCCACAGTCACCAGATCTCAATCCAATAGAGCATCTTTGGGATGTGGTGGAATGGGAGAATCGCATCATGGATGTGCAGCCGACAAATCTGCGGCAACTGTGTGATGCCATCATGTCAATATGGACCAAACTCCCTGAGGAATGCTTCCAGCACCTTGTTGAATCTATGCCACGAAGAATAGAGGCAGTTCTGAAGGCAAAAGGGGTCCAACCCTTTACTAGCATGGGGTACCTGATAAAGTGGCCGGTGAGTGTAATTTCTGTTTTAAGTTAGTCTTCTTTGGGTATCTTTAACATCTTGCAGCCAATTCCACATTGGGGACTCTCAGTGGGTAACCTGTATTCACATGGCAGGCTGCTAATCAATCAGGCTGGACATTCCAGCACTTAAGCTGCTAATTAGTTGTGAGAACCATTCGTGTTTATGTTAGATGTAGGAAGAAACTGTGAGTTCCTGTTATTTGAGAACTTAGTGTTTGGAGCCGGATCCAGATTTGCGGCCAATATGGTACGGTTGACGTGGAAAATAAGACAACATCTGCAATTTTTACATGCCTCTCCACTTGCATCTAATATTCAATCCAACTCAAATTTACACAGCTGTGTTCTACTTTTAAAAAGCCTCTTCTCATTCAAGATTGACAGCAATTTAAGAGTTTTTCCACAATCTGTTGATTGTGGTGTTATTTTTGGCCTAAATCACAAGATGTCGCTCAGTGTTTATATTTGTCAGCCTGCAGAGATGTGGAGTCTATTGGAGTCTGTAAATGTATGTAGGTACCCATCTAACTTGTTTATTTGTTGGTTCCTTTTACATTTTGGTTTATGGAAAATGCTTACATACTTACAGTAGTAATTATTATTAAACTACCATATTTTATGGGGTCTTTATAAGGTGCCCACGCTTTTTAGGGTACAATAAGTCATTAGAATGGGCTCCAACAGTCTGTTTCAGTGGAAACAAGATGGTGACAAGGTTCTGGACCCATCTGCTGACAAAAATTGTCAATGACGCGAAATTTACAGTTAAACCCAAAGTTACTCATAGTCCTGGTTGGTAGGGATCACTAAAACAGTCAGATACATCTTATCCAAACATCTTAACATTTTCCAATGATATCACAGAAATAAATTTTTAAAGACTAAGTTTTTTCATCAGCCTTATTGGTAGCTACCTCCAAAAATTGGTGTCAAGATTCCAACTAATCTCCAAATCACTAATATAATTTTATGTCAAGATGTGAGAAAAACTTCCCCTAAAACTTGACCTGATAAACTGTGGTATAAATCTAGCCTTTACCTCAGTTTTACAAAAGTTAAATTTTGCATAGCATACATTATAGCTTAGCTTAGTTAAGCTTTGGTTTACTTAGATCAATTTAGTTCTGGTTCTTTTCATTTACCTGACATTTATTTTTGCTTAATCTACCATGATTTATTTAAGTTGAACCTCAAATTGCTTATTTGAAGTTCTTCTATGAGCTTAATGCAAGCTTATTTTCCTTAGCTAAATTTGTTTCATTTAAGTACACATTAGCTGATTTTACTTACTAAGTTTATTGTTTAGTATTTAGGTAATAATGGCCAACTGTGGTATTACATCGAATGAAAGGCTTTTAATTACCTTTATGAAGTCTTAAGAGTTTTATTTTAAAAGACTTTAAAATATGACATGAAAGTCTTCTTGTGTCCTGTTTGTTAAAAGCAGAAAGGCTACTCTCTTTAGTTTATTTTTGCGCTATGATTTTATTTTATTTTTATCTTTTCTTTTTACAATTTCTTGTTTATTGACGTGCCTTATTGATCTTTTTTCTGCCTCCATGAGTTTGAGGGTCTAAATCCCCATCCTTTAACCTGGTGAGCCAAGACACAACTTTTTTTAATTATAATTTAATCTATTTCTATATAAATAAAAATCTGAGTCTATGAAGGTAAGTGGGTAGGTTAATCTTTTGTTTGTTTTACTCTTAAAAAAATCTCCAAGCATCTTCAGCATCTTCTAAAAACCCCACAAAATATTATTTTAAGGTAAAAATCAAATGCAACATTTAATGAAATGGATATTAATGTCATTACAAATACATATTTTTTTTTCTTTTGCTTTATTTTTTTCCAGCCTTACCATTGGATAAGGATACTGTATTCCTCTGGGGTAAGTGCTGCCGGTGAACTGAGGCAGGGTCATGTTGGGCACCAGGGTGTCATCAATTCTCAGAAACGCTAGTCGCTCTCCATCAGGCGACCACCAGTGAGCCAAGTGTGAGTGCAAAATCTCCTCTGATAAGAAAAACAAAATCTCTTAAATTCCCCTCTCTTGTCTGTAATTGGCAGGTTAGTTATGAAAGCCGCCCCCCACTGGAGTCCCATGATTAGTCAAAAATACCACCAGAGTGATAATACTTTGAAGCATAAACAAATCTAAAAGCTGAATCTCTAAACATCCTTCAACTGCCAGTTAATTTTTTTTTCTTTTGATGCTATTGCCTGAGCAAAGCCTTCACAGCCACTTCAAGGATTGCCAACTCTTGTTGAATTTTCATCACTAATCTGTTTAGTTTGCCTCATCTGCTCTCCTGCATTCTGAATGCCAGAAACAAAGCTTTGGAAAAGCTGAGATTTAACAGTAAATTATATCTGCTGAAGACTGTGTCACTTTCAAGAGTGAGATATCTGAAAAAAGGAGAAATATCAAGATTTTGCGTCCATTTAGTTCACATTAATCCCCCATTAAAGCCATAGTTTTCTTATTTTTACCCAAAACATCTGGAAAAATGTCAGAAATAAACTTACCTTCATATAACCAGTCTGCTATCCCATTAAAGATGACTCCTTCCATCCCGGAGGAGGTGATTCTCAGAGAGCTGGTCTTCACATCTGATTGATAGTAGATGTTGTTCTCAAAGATGTAGACCTGGAGAGAAAAGAAGAACATTGAAGTTCTTATCATAATCTGATGTTTGTCCCCCTTGATTAGATTTTTCCAGCCCACTAACCCCGTGCAGTCCTTTTCCAATCCTATGTCATAGCTTTTTAACCACCCTAAACCTGAATACCCTAGTTTGAGAATTATAATTAGACTAGACTTTTGCTTTGTAGTAATTATATTTCAATATGGAAGTTAAGTCCCTCCTAATGTGTAACTATTTCTATTTATACACTGCAAAAACTGATCTATAAATAAGTACAATTTCGTTAAGGAAAGTGTATTTTCTGTAAGGATTTGTTTGTGGTTAGATGACCCAAATGCAGAGGCAGGGAGGCAGAGGTGAGTTTCTTGTGGATTTAATGAGGTGTTAACAAACAACTGAGGCAGAAATCCAAAAATCCAAAAATCAAACATGAAAAAAGGCAAACAAACCAGAAACCATGGAGACATCAGGGGAAAAACAATCACGACAAGGAAGACTCAGAGAGACGGAGTTGGAGGAAGTTAGACGAGGAACCAGCACTGAGAAACTGCCTAAGGAGTTTATTAATGGTAGACTGAACAAAGAGAGGACTAATGAGCAGATTGGGAGCAGGTGTAATGAGAGCAGACAGGAAAGGCGCTGGGGAAAAGGAGAACACAAGAGGGCAGTATTGGGCAACAAATAAAACCTTAAAACTGAAAATAACCAGAAAACACAACAAAATAAGATTTAAACCACTAAAACTAGAAAACATGGAACAAAGTAAAACTGAACACTCAAAAGGAAACATAAAAGAACCAGAACTTTGACAATTTTCCATTAATTTAAGTAGGTAAAGTAAGGTAAATAAGATTATCTTCTCGTGGAGTAAAATAAGGTGAAATTTGAAACATGATAATGGAGTTCTTTCTGCCTATTTTAAACATACATTTTCTTATTATTTTTGGCAAATTTTATTTACCTGATCAAATCAAGGTAAGATACTTGTTTTTTTAATACTAGATTTTATTTTTTGCACCTTTTCATTTTTCTCTACCACAGAAATATTATATTTCCAGGCAAACATTAATGTCATTGTCTTGATTTTATATAACCGTAAAACCTCCAGCCACTAGTTAGCAGCAAAGTGCCTAAGAGCCAATAATTATTATATTTTTTATGTTTTGTTTTTAAGATCTTAAAATTTAGCTGTGTTTTTTTCCAAAGCTTAAAAAAAAAAAAAAAAAAAAAAAAATTGCGATATATTCATTTTGATAATGCATGGGGATAAATTGTTTCGTGATAGAAATTGTGTCACTAAATTCTTGCCAATTCACATTGCTACTCTAAAGCATATGTAAAACAGCTCAAACATCATGGATTACAAGAGAAATTAATTTTGATCAGACCAAAGTCATTCACGGCAAGGGAACATGGACATCTAACTTTTTAATTCAGTTAATCCTAAATAGAAGCGATATTTAATCATGGAACCCTATAATAACAGCTAAATCAAAAACAAATCCATTGTTTTGGTTATAAAGAAGTAACAGCATTTGAAACTCCTTTATAACCTATTAGCATATCTTAAGAGAAGTCTTTCTTCATAACATCAGTAGAATTGCTTTTATTAAAACCTATAAGAACCTATAGAGGATGTTAAAAAGGGGGTGACCACAGCTGCTATCTAAAACATTAGTAAAATAATTATGGAAATCTGCAGCTGTTACAGAATAAATAACAAGAATTAAAAAGGATTTAAGGTCAGGATCACAAAGCAATGATTTAAAGCTATAAAACATTAACATTGAACTAAGCAGTTAAAACCTATAACACAAGGAAAGTTGCTTCAGATTAAGGGGGTAGATTGAGAGGTATTGATTATTATTGTTTTTTTTTTTTCCAAGTCAACACCAGAGGGAATATAAAAACACATCCGCAACAATTTTACACATTACTTTGGGCCCACATATTCATCTAGAATAAGGATTTTAAACTTTGGTTTATTATCTAACTGCAAAGATTGGTGGCTGCTCATTTTCAACAAGTTTTGAATGATTTTACTAATATTTTAAAGGGTATTTTCATTTAAAAATCTTGTTATAATAAAAAAGTGTTATTAAAAAGTGTTATAATGCTATTTCTACATCAAAACCATATGTGGAATTTAGCTTGAATAGAAAAAAAACACAATAGAAAATCTCTCTATGATGCATGTCTGAGAAATTCTCATTATTTTAGTTCTTTTATCTGAGCAGAAGCTCCTCCCTGACCTTTGATAAAACAAACACCCACTCCCTCCGATCCTTGAACGGTGATGTGAAACAGGGCACAATGATTTCTGTGAAAGGTTTAGACAAAGTGGCTCTTTTAACATCTAATCTTAACCTTTTTCTCTTTTTTTGTTTTTTTGCTTTTTAACGTATAAGTCATGAAATCCTAATGAAATATGTGGCACCCAGATGGGGAGAGGTGGATTTGCTTTAAAGGCAAGTGTTTTTCTTCAACTTGGACAAAAAAGCAGCTTTAATTCATTAAAAAAATATTGCCATGTGGAGCTAAAGGCATTATTTCATCATATATTTTCTTTTAGTGACTAAAAAGACTTAAAAAAGCAAAATGAAGGACTTTAAGAATATAACCTCCATCAAAGGACCCAATATTTTGCATGATATGATGAGTTTACATGCTTTATTTAAAAAGAATATTGTTTCTTTCTAATGTTAAGCTATCCACAATAGTGGGCAATAATTAACTGTTCATCAGGAGAGAAAAAAATTATTTTACTGGTGATCTTGTGATTATTTATTATTGGCAAAACCTTTAAATGGATCAATGGGATCAGTTAATTTTGCCATTTAAAATGGTTTTATGTTTCAGTTTAAGTGAATACTGTTAATATAATTGCTTAGGTTCCTTATTTGGAGTAATTATGAAGTCAGAATATTCAGCTGAAACTGCAGTAATTTTAGATTTTCTGATTTAATTGCGAAAAAGTATTGCTAAAACTTTCTTGGCTCAATAAGCAGCGTGAGTCGGATATAAGGTAGACATGAACATGAAAGCTCTCAGACAGGAGGATGTAAACAGACAATATTTTTGTTCTGGACACAGTTACATCACTGGAGGAGATCCCATCGGAGAGACAGAGGATTTGTACCAATAACTGAAGTAAGGAAAGAGGGGAAAAACAGAGACACGTCTCACCAGCTGCCTTCCCTGCCTTCCCCAGGCTGCATGTTGGAGTACAGAGTTCGGAACCTCTGGTGGGTTCAGCTCCCATACTTCCCTGACAAAACACAACAGCATCAAAAACCCACCATCTGTTAGTTCCTCAACACAACCAGGTTCAAGCTCAGACAGAAGTGCTCACGCAGCCTCACCTCGTGTCGATGTTGTACACAATATAAGACGCTGTGTATGAGTATCTGTACACCTGCAATAAGAAAAGAGACGACAAAATGTAAACACTGACAAGATATTGATGCTTTTTCATATCAGCCGCTCTGAGCAAACATAACAGCAGCGGCTAATAATGCTGGGACGTTCATGAAAGTAATAAAGTAGATGACATAAAGTAAATAAATACAGCATCATATCTTATATTTACATGGAGATGAGGCGTACTCGAGAGAAAGATGGATTATGTCAAATATTTCAGTAGATGATATCTGTATCAATTGGAAAATACCAATATTGCGATATTGATTTAAAATAAAGCCGGATTGATTTAAAATGCAAATATGGCAGTTAGAATATTTTTTTTTTCCAAATTAAAATTTTTTAAAACATTATTGTTAAACAAATTGTCTTTTTCAGATTACATTCTCTTTACTTAAAGGCACACTATGCAACATTTTTCAGTTAATTAATGTGTTCCATAACGTTTTGGATGACTAAATGAGTCATTTCAGGTTGAACAAAGGTATTCTCGGCCACCCCGGTGGTCTGTGGGGGAAATACTGCACTTGCAATTGCAGGAGCACCGACCCGCACCCACAGGCTCAGAAGTCTCGTGAGAGTCAGTCTTGCTTTACGGCGAGAACTGCTACACCCATCAGTTAAAAGCATTCTCGTTGCTAGCACAGTGGCAATCTTTGTACAGTAATGCTACGTTCACGCAGCAAAAGCACGTCTGCTGCTTCATTTTTGCTGCTTGTACCAGTTTGTTCTGACGCGGCTGAAGCAGCTTTGCTGCTCTGGCTGCGCGGTGCAAAAGTGTGTCTGAGGCGCATTGGGCGGAGCTTCACTAACCTTTCTCTGCCTTGCAGCTATATTTGCTGTGATCAGTGGGAATAAAGTAGTTTTAATATGTGTTTAAGTGAGAAAATACACCTGAAAACGTAATCAGTGCAGTCAGTTCATTCAGATTATTATCCTGCCTTCAATATTTTTTCTGTCGGAGCCGCTCAGACCCCCACATACCAGGGATGCGCCGACAGTATGGATCCCTTCATCAGCAGCGGTTCACCGCGGCAGCTTGTAGGTGTTTTTCATCTAAATAATACAAACTGCATATTCTGCCGGCAGATTTCTGCATTTTAAGTTAATTTAGGCGTCAATAAACTGTTTAAGAGGAGTGATCATCAGCGCTGTGTCTCTCTCCCTGCGTTAAACGCACCCGATGCGCTGCTTCAGCTGCTCAGACGTGCTGCGCCTGCTGCTCAAAACGCGCCGCTGGACCTTTTGCTGCGCCTTGACGCGCGTCAACCATTGACTTTGCATGTAAACTCGCTGCTTCTGTCGCCCCAGCTACGTCCAGTGTGAACGCAGCATTAGTCATTCGTTGCTAAGCTCAAAACAACCGCGCCTGGCTTGACGGAGAAACCAGGAGAACAGCTGTGCATATTTACGACAGTGCACTTTTACTTTCGCCCTCTGGGGGGAGCCTCGCTGGAAAATCAACACCGGTTGCATAGTGTACCTTTAACACTGATCAAAATGTTTTTGCCTGTGTCTATGCAGACAAATGAGAGATCGTCGTCGCTTGTACCCTATAGGAATGCAGAGCATTAAACTCAGTTTGAAAAAGACAAATTTGATATACTCAAATGAGACAAAATAAAATATAGTAAAGAAGAATTTAGAAAGAAAAAAGTAAATATTAAATATAAATTTTGAAAAAAATTGAAATTGAGAAAATGACTAAGTTACACTCACAACCTCTTTTTGATTAAGACGTTTTTCAAAATTTAATTTCTGGGTTACACTTTGTTTTTTTTTTACAAATTTCAATTTGGAAAAAACTCAACAACATTCACTCCATATACCTCTCCATAGTTTAAAAGTTGTCATTGAAATGCACATGGTACTGTCAGACATTAAGCAAGTCGCTACTGATACACATACACTTAAAGTTTTTATAATCAAAGTGAATGAAACACATTGTTAAAAACATATTAGTTAATATTCGTACACTAAATAAAGGTAATAAACACTCAATAAGTGTTCAATAACATTGCAAATGTAACGGTTGTTGTAGTATCCACATGTAGGGGGTTGAATTGGTAAAGGACTGCTTGGATCCTGCATATCTTAAAATTCTCTTTTAATATCTATCATATATGTGTCCATTTGGACAGACAAACTGCTTTAAATACGTTCAGATGTGTTTAAAGTGGCTAATATGGCTAAACCTGCAACACTGTGGTGGAAATAGTGTGTAAATCCAATAAGAATACATGTTGGTTAATAGTTATCCCAATTTCCAAGATTTGGCATGGCCTAGTTAAAGCCCCATTTAGCTTCTGCTGTTTGACCTGAAGCGGGCCGTTCATTCCTGAAAAAAAAAAAAAAATTTGCAATTGAAAGAAACCCAACTGAGGGCTACTAAAAGCTTTGTAAGAGGTGATTCTTTGTTGCTAAAGCAACACATGAAGCTGGAATCCAATTAATTAAAGCTAAATTTAAGGTGCACTCTTCCTTTTACAAAGGCTGACAAACCAAGAAATTATATTGACAGGGCAATCAGCAAAGAGCATAATGTAGCACACACATCCTTCACTTTATCAGCTGCTGCAGCGTTTCTGGAGAAGTGCTTGTGGTGTAAAAATTGATTGGAAAACCTTCGCTGTGGTGAGAAGGGAAAACCTCCTGCAGGTTGACTGATGGCACAACCAATACAGAAAAATCGTTATTTAAAAAATAAAATCATACAAAATTAATCTAGACCTGTTCGTTGCAGGTGGTACAATTTATTCACCCAGAGAACTCTGCTCAGAAGCGGCACAACAAATTCATCCATCCCTCTAAAATCCAAACTATCAAAGCAACCCTTTGCCAAGGCAGGAAATCACTTGTCAGGAAAAAAGCAGCCTGTGAATATGAATAGAGACATCACAATTGGGTGATATGTTTGTGCGTGTGTGCTGTGCATATGAGTGATGGTGCCGCAGGGTATTTCATAGGCACACAATGAAAATGCCGATCTGCCAGGATATAAAACAAAAGGTGACAAGAATAGCTGATAACATTCAGGATAAATCGCAATCAGAGCTAGTGTGATTATAATGGGCAAAATCTCTTAACACCAGCTGTTATTCACGGGTTCTTTATTCATGGTAATCAGCTTTCATTGGAAGCTCACCTGTTTGACATCATACGCAAAGAGAGCATACTTCAGATCTGGGGACAGCGAGTATTTTGCCACTTTGAAGGAGACCTAGAGGAAACAGGCAAGGAATAAAATGTTGTTTTAAATTTGACAGCAAACACAATTCTGAAAATATGTCACTACAGTTCTTATTAAATCATTCATGTGGACCAAGCCAAAATCCCAACTCAAATCTGATACATAATCTGGTGATAGAGGTAGAGATTAGCACTGTTGCAATGATTAAGAGATGGATATGCTAAGTGAGTAGGTAGAAATACGTTTTGGCAGACCAAACTAATGGAATAGACAATATTGGTACTGATTCAATATAGTTTTTTTTTTTTTTTTTTTTTGATAATTTACACCAATTTTTCATATTTTAAGAGATGCCCATTTACTGTTTACGGAGTGCCACGGAGAGGGGTACAGGATGCAAACGGGGAAAGACAGATGATGCAATGACGAAGGAAGAAGGGAATCTTCTGCACAATAACCATTAGCCCTGGTGTTTCCCAGGGTTGTGGTATCTCTCCATTCATGTTCTCTCTCAAAAATTGTTTTTTTTAAAGTCACCTAGTTACAATTTGTGAAGCTCCTGCTGTTGGGATCTGGAGGTTTGTCCACTTTCTCCACCAGAGGGCGCACGAGATCTCCTGGGGGCATGAGCTACTGCTACACCTGTCTTCAATCTGCTCATCAGGAGACTCCTACTTAAGGAGGCGGGGACTGACACTCCAGTGCCAGAGTGTTAGCCAGTAATGGTACAGCTAGACCTGAGCCAACCTGCCTGATCATTTCTCTGTGTTTTTGCGTGAACCGGCCTGATCCAGTTCTCTCTCTCTGCCTAGAGAACCTGACCTGTCTGAAAACCTGAAACCTGGAAGTGACTCAGTTCTGGGATCTGCCTGCCTGCATTCGGTTAGTCTCTGCCATAGCCCTCAGCCCTCTGCCTGCCGACAAACCTCTGGACCCTCAGGGTTATCCCCCTCTTGCTGATCTGTCCCGTCCCTGAGCAGGTATTAACTCAATCACCTGACAAACTACTGGATCCCTGGAAATCCTCTACCTCTCTGTTCTCCTTAGTGGTGTTCCTCCCGTGACCAGTCGGACCAACCCAGTTCCAGTGCACATTTGAAAACTCTGTCAATAAACCTTTGAACTTTTTCTCTGTCTCCTGAGTGTTCTCTGCATGTGGGTTAGACATCTCAATCCCATCATGACACCTGCAGACAACACCACTGTCTTTGGTCTGATCCAGGACAGTGAGTCTGCATAAATAGTTTAACCTACATTGTGTAATGTACACAGTGCATTTTTTTTTTAAAAAATACAGCAACTACTTAAAGAAATTGCTTCAATTAGCAAAAAGTAATTGAATTAATTTTGCACAATTTGAATTGAATTTTCAACTTTTACATGTAATAAATTAATTAGGATTCACATGATTTAATTACTTGTCACCAATTGCAGATATTCATTCATGTTCGAGCAGCATTTTTATTTTGTTTTAGTGTGGAAATGGGAATGGACCTCTGATGAAATTTCCCCTCAATTCCCTCAACAACACTTTTGCTACATTCCCACAGCAGCAGAACCTTTGACCCAAATCCGATTTTTTTTTGCTGATACACAACCTGCATTTGATCATCTCATGGCAGTCTGAACATAACAGATCAGATTTTTTCCAATGCGACCCAGGCCACTTGTAGCCTCCTGAGACCATCCTGATATCGCGGGCTTTCAAGGTTTCACTCGCAGATCAGTCTGGCTACTTTCCGTTAAAGAAAATTTGGAGCCGTTCACCAAACGAACGTCCAATCAGCGTTGGCTTTGAGGCGGGTTGAGGTGTGACGCAACGAGAAGCGCGACAGTTCAGTCTAAAGAACATGGCGGCTTCAGCCGATGAAACTAGCGTTAGCGTGGCTATCGAGCAAGTTTTATCGGAATTACAGAGTATTTCTTCACTGAAAGAAGAGCAAAACACTGCTCTGGAGGCCTTTCTCAGAGGAAAAGATGTTTTTGCTATTCTCCCGACTGGTTTCGGCAAGAGTTTGATCTATCAATTGGCTTGTGCGTGGCTTGTGGTTGTGTTTTCGTCGTCGCTCTGTTAGTACGTCATATGCTTTGTTGATCTTATTGGTTTATTTGGCCCGTCTATCACCAACATAGGCCAATTAGCTAACCAGTAATTTCGCCCCTTCCCAAAATTACTTAAACGGAAGGTTTCCAGATGGATATGCAGAGCAAATCCAGCAAATCCATCTGGCGGAGTCAGGTTAGGCCACTTGGCTATGTGGTCCTGAATCCGATGCGAATCTGATCTTTCCAAATGCGACCTGTGTCTGAACGGCCAGGTCACATTCATCCAACCTGAACGCCATTAATACCTGACATAGGTCACTTTTCTGCATCTTGCTACAAAGAAGCGAAAAGAAAACCAACAACCATGGCAGATGATGATATGGAGAGCCGTGTTTATGTTTAACCATCTTGAAAAGATTACGTTTTTAAGGTTGGGAAAGATCGCTAGATGTTCTCCGGCACTATCCATGTTTACATCTGTAACTGTGACATCATTGCGTCCTCTACTGCACAGGAGGAGTATATATATGGTAGACAGATCAATGACTGGAGTAATCAGCTAATAGGGAGCAGGTGTGGACAGAAGCAGCTAAGAGGAAAGGAGAGGTGCAAGAAATAGTAAGCAGGGCTCAACTAAAACTTCAAATTTCAATGGCTCATAAAAACACTGAGGCAGAGATGCAGTGTGGTAACCAGATTGATATTTGTAATTCAATGTCATGTTCTCAAAAAAGAGGAACATTCAGTACTATTTTGCTCAGTGTTTGAATTGTGTGAACAACTGAAGCTCTTTCCTTATTTGTGCATATAATAATGTAAAAAAAATCTAACTCCCAAATCCAGCAGTATTTACCTCCAGTCGTCATCAAAGCAGATTTTACAGCTTTTCTGCTATTCTAGGTAAAACATGGTGTGCATGAGATGATGATGAAAACGGGACCGATCCGTTTCAGCAGACAAGGATTATAATAACAAAATAGGATTAACAAGATGGCAGCAGAAAACTGCTAAATATAACCTTTGTTTCCTTGAACTGAAAATTTAGGATGTTAATGTTTGTTTCTTGAGGTAATGTTGACGAAAAGCCCGCCAACCAGGATTGAGATTTTAATGCTTTTCCTGCAGGTGAGCTTGGACCAGAAGTTTTATTTCATTGCTATATTTATTCAATATTCAGTCCTTTAAACTCTCCAAACCTTCACGAAATCAAATTAAAGCAATTAAAAACATAACTTTGTTGACCCTTGATGTCTATCTACTCTAACAAACAGATGCATTTTTCAGCTTAATAAACAAAGGACAATAAAAGCAGGAGCAATGACTCACAAACGTGGAGTTCGCCAAAATGATCTCCGTCTCATTCAGGACAAAGTTGAACTTGACGACATGTCCGTCTCCATTTCTGTACACCACCTCTGAATCTGAGAACCAAGAGAAGAAAAGATGCAGAACAAATTACAGAACCCATGAAAAGTTCACCAACATGATTTCCTACTGTGTTGAACTGGTTTTGGATCTCTTACTCTCTGACTAATCACCCTTTAATATTCTTTTGGAGAAGATTGAGCAGAATGTACATGTAAAATATGCTGATATTTTGAAGGTTCTTTGTGTGCAGAATGATGAGGCCCTCAATATATCAACATAATGAGTTCATGTTCCTTGTCTTTATAGGCTCCTGTAGATTCCCTCCTATTATGGTGTGGACCTGTTTCTCTGCACTCATGTCAACTCTTGTTTTAAGGAGAAGCCGACCTGAGAAAGTTAACTTCCAGTGATTGGCTTTTATATATATATATATATATATATATATATATATATATATATATATATATATATATATATATATATATATATATATATATATATATATATATATATATATATATATATATATATATGATAAGTTTTTCAAACAATAACATCTCTTAAAGGTGAAAAGACATGATATGCCTTTACAAAAAGACCAAGTATACTTTGATCATGATCAAATAAGGTTATTTTGTTATTTTTTTTGTTTTTTCCTGACTAAATAGAATTCCAGCTGCTTAACAGAGCCTGACGATCCGGCAATATCTCGCAATAAACCAACAGGTCTGCATTATTAAACATAAAATAAAATGATAAAAAGCCAGAAGTTGGATTGAGCAGGTAGAAATGTACGACATAATAGCCTCCACTGTTTAGGAGGGCAGCCCACTGGCAAGGAGAGGGTAGATAATATTTCATTGACATTTTTACAGCCAAACAAATAGTCTCTACTGATACATTGGAGGTTAGAGCTCTATTGTAACATAATGCTAGAGCCAAGCTTATATAAGCTCTTGAAGTAAAATAATCTTTCTCTCTACTGTGTGCAATGTACCATAAAAAGAAAAGCCTGGCTGGTAAATGTGTTTATTAATCTGCTTTTAATAGATTAAAAAAGCTCAACTTTAATACTGAATTTGGTCATTAATAGAACTGAATAATGCTTTTAAGAAAGGAAAGAATTTGGAGAATGATGGGACAAAGTAGGAAAAATTCTGCTTGGTTTAAGATAAACCCATACAAGTTTAATTTTTAGTAAATCCTCCACAGAGCCTCAAATCAGAACATCAAGGAACAAAACAGGGGGATATTGTCAAACTAAGAAACTTAAGCAATTTAATTGGAATAAACACAAGTTAAAATCTGTAGAGATGAAGAATAGCATTTAAATCCTTAGTATCAGTATTAATAAGGATATTTAGTCTGGGGCCGCATCTAAACACCTCCCCTCTGCTTTAGAGAACACCACTATATATCCTGCACTACTTAAGTCCTATCCTTCGTGGAATCAAAAACTCTTTTCTTCATTAGTTCCACAGTTTACTGGAAGATGCTAATAGTTTAGCAGTAAGCTACTTCCTTTATACTCCATGTGTGGTACCATAAATGTTTTTTTCTATGTAAATATACATCAAGGGCTTTATTTGAAACCAAATTCAGCAAAAACAAAACATCAAACACCAAAATCACAAATAATACACCAGCAGAAAGCAGTAATCTTTCAGAAAAACAGAGCTACTGGAGAACAATTTTGAAAAATATGTATAACATATCTTTGCACCATGTAAGAGAGAAAAAGCCAATCCAACTAAAGCCGGACATTCACTGTAGGCCCTTTTCAGGCTGATTCTTCAGTCATAAGAGAATTTTTTGGTTTCAGCCTCATCGTGGGTCCTGCGCGGTGTAGTGTAAAGGCGGTAGAGAGCGGCGATTAGCCTCTAACAACCAGATCCCGATTAGGAATCGTAAGGTCTGGAGAAAATGGAATATGTTTGAAATTCATTTAGCCAGTGTGAGATGTTCGTGGACAAATCCTGCTGTTGAAAGCAGAGCTACAAGCATCTATGAGCTGATTTACCAGAACCTCGAGAACTAATGTGCAAGCAAAGGAGTTCTTCTTCTTCTTCCAGATTGTTGAGTCCGACCTGCGCCATCTCTCAGCGTTCAGTCCAACGTGCGGTTTTTGGACGTGCAGCGTGAGCAGGTAGATCACATCAGAGCGTCGGGCTGCACAGCGTGAGAACATACTGTATATCGTGAGCTGTGAACTTTTAAACCTTGTGGATTCATCGTACAGTCTGAGTTGTAGCTGCGTGCAACGATTACAAATATTGCACAGCGTTTGCGCAGTGGGTAGTACTGCCACCTTGCAGCAAGAAGGTTCCCGGGAATCGATTAGTTTGCATGTTCTCCCTGAACATGAGTGTGTTCTCTCCGGGTACTACGGCTTCCTCCCACAGTCCAAAAAAAAACATGGCTGTTAGGTTAATTGGCTTCTATAAATTCTCCTTAGGTGTGAGTGTGTGTGTGAACGGTTGTTTGTCCTGTTTGTCCCTGTATTGCCCTGCTATGGACTGGCGACCTGTACAGGGTGTACCCCACCTCTCGCCCGTAGACAGCTGGAGAGAGGCACCCCTTGTGACCCCGCTTGGGATAAGCGTGACAGAAAATGGATGTACAGTAAGCCTAGCTTAACTTAACCAGTTTCCTCCAAACACTGCTATCCAAATGCTTGCAAAATATTACATCAGAAGTGAAAAATACTGATCTTAATTTTACACAATATGCAAAAACTGTGCAAGATTTTTCTTTTATAATACTTTCTTTGAAAGTAAAAAGTCCCCTAAAAAAAAGAACAAAACGATCAATTCTATTTATAGTAAACAGACCAACTCGGAGGTTGTCAATGATTTTTAGCTACTGCCTTCTCTGCCCTCTGTCCTGGTTCTGTCTCATCACTGCCCGGTCCTGCTGCACAGAGCTGCCAAAGGCTAATGATATGCGAGTAAGAGACTGACACTTTTAGAACTGCATAGGGGCTTTTTAGGGCAACAGATTCTGTTGTATTTGCATCAGAGCTCCGATGGGATTTGAAAAAATATTCCACCTATCTCAGCTTAGGTGTGGATACATCAAGATTTACATAGTGTTTTTCTTATTGTATATATATATATATATATATATATATATATATATATATATATATATATATATATATATATATATATATATATATATATATATATAAATGCAAATCAAACACCCGTCTAATCACCTCATTTCACAGCTTTAACCTGCATTATCTCACTCATATTTCAGGCAGAAACGTTTGCCACATAAGAAAAAGGGGATTAGTTTTAAACTCTGACTCATTTTCTGTCAATTTAATCCTAAACCAGCCACAGCTTCTGTCCCCATCCCTCCTTTTTGGAATCTTGGATCTCATTTCGGAGCGAATTTGTTGCTGATTGCAGCTGAGAAAATCACTCTCCCACCATGTTCTGAGTTCAGAATGGGTGTGTGCTCTAATGCAGCTGGAAAGAAATCCAACATTGTTCAGTAAGCGGCAGATGCTGATGGTGGGGGTTATGCGAAGGACACCTCCAATCTAAATGCATAAGGACATTAGAAAATGAGTTTTTGCTCTTTAGGCTGACTTTATATCATTTCTACAAACGGCCCTATTGGTGCCAGAAAATCCATTAAATGTATTTTCTCTTGAGTCTACAGGAGAGAAAACATGTGAATTATATATAAAATAAGCTTTGTGTCTTCATATAAGTATATAGGTCAGCTGTTGATAAGCCTGCCAACAGATTAATAGTCCTTCGTAATGAGTTAAATTGAGCTTTTTTTCCAGCAATTCCTTTAAGATAGCTTGTTCTAGCTCCAAATGAAAGGATTTGAGAGGTCCCTAAATGCCCGATGTGTTCATACAGTACTGTGAAATAGTCATATTAATAATTGTCCCTCGTAAATGTTTCAGATCATAAAATCCAGAGACAGACTTTCTGGCATAGGTTAATTGGCCTCTCTAAATTCTCCTTAGGTGTGTGTGTGTGAATGGTTTGTCTCTGTGTTTTCCTGCGATGGACTGGCGAGATAAGCACCAGCACCCTTTGCGACCCAGCTTGGGATAAGAGTGACTGAAAATGGATGGATGGACTTTCTGGCATTAACAGACTTTCCTGTTTAAGGTCTTGTTAAAGCATTTAGAGGTGGGTTTATAACTCTGTGCTTCTATGTTCTGTGCAGAACTGAGGTGCGCATCGTTGCCATAACAGCAGTTTCATCATTTTATGCTCTGCAAATTTTACCCAATACGCTTGTAAACTCTAGGGGACAGTCTAGGGCAAAGACCTCAACCCTATGGCACCATATCACATGTAGAGTAAGAAAACAAAATTGTTTTCAACATTTTCAATGTCTCTTTTTCTCATCCATAGTTCATTACAATCTGTTGATGCGGTGATGTTTATGGACCAAGTCATAATGGTCAGTAGATGCTTATATTGCCAAATCCCTATAGGAGACAGTACAAGCTTTTGCTCAACTGCCATGTTTTTCCGCAAAGAACTGCCCGCATAATTACGCATCTTACCAGATGCGAGGAGCAGAAATATCTAGGGATGGTAGATGGATGACGTAATTTGTCTATGCAATGCAACCAGACCAACATATTCTCATTATCAGTTTGTATGAAATCGTACGAAAAGTTATGCACAGTATTTCGTACGTTTTCGATTTTTTTCCTCGAAAAAACAGATCAGTGCGCATGCGCAGCCAGACAGATGAAAAAAGCAGGTCCGCGGTCGGACGTAAAACTGGGAAAAACAGTGCAATAATTACTTCTTGATGTCTCTAACAACGTTACTTGCTGTTTTGGATCTTAGGGTTAGGCGTTAGGGTCAGGGTTAGGGTTAATTGTATGTTAAATTCTATGTTATTGAATGGTGCATGCGCAAGGATATCTTGTCTCCAGGCAAGACGTAAAAATACGACGAAATACCACGAAAAAAACGTCAAAAACGTACGAAATTACTGTGCATAACTTTTCGTACGATTTCATACAAACTGATAATGAGAATAAACTGACCAGACAGCTGCCGTG